TGCTGGGAGGGTTGAGGTGCTTCATGAAGAACTGTGGGGCACTGTGTGCCATGACGACTGGGATATAAATGATGCTCAAGTTGTGTGCAAGCAACTGGGCTGTGGGGATGCGGTGCTGGCCCCCACTGGAGCCAAGTTTGGACGTGGACTTGACACCATCTGGCTGGATGATGTGAACTGCACAGGGACGGAAGCTGCTCTCTCTGAGTGCCCAGCAAGGCCATGGGGAGAACACAATTGTCACCACAAGGAAGATGCCAGTGCAATTTGTTCAGGTAATCCTTCCGTTCTCCCACTTTTGCCAGCCATGCATTAGGGTGTCCTCACTGTCCATGTGTGCACAACCTTGGACAGAAACAAGGCTTTCCTACGGAGCACTCGCATATTGAGTTGGTGCTAACCTAATAGTCCTGCTGGTGGCCTGGGGTCCTTACACCACAGAAGAAGGCTTCAGTCTGGGAGGATCTATCCTCTTTGCTCACTGGGGTGCTCTGTGACCATTTGCAGCTCAAGCTTGAGGTTAAGACTGCCATTGTGCTTCTTGCTTGGACCATTGCATGTTGTATGTGGAGAAAGCTATGGAGGAGAAGCTGCTATGTGCAGGGCAGGGAGGGGATATTCAGGGAAGAGGGGGGCTGCACACCAATGCACACACACGTGAGCATGCCCTCTCTGGATGTGTCTGCAGATTCAGGGATCACCGTCTCCACTTCAGTCCGCCTGGTGGGTGGCCCCAACCGCTGCTCTGGGAGAGTCGAGGTGCTTCACAAGGATATCTGGGGCACTGTCTGTGATGACCAGTGGGATTTACGAGAGGCAAAGGTTGTGTGCAGGCAGCTGGGCTGTGGGACAGCACTATCGGCCCTTCCGGAGTCAAAATATGGGGAAGGGAAGGGCCAGATCTGGCTGAGTGACGTGAACTGCACAGGGACAGAAGAGTCCCTCACTGAATGCGAGGCGAAGGCATGGGGAGACAACATCTGCAACCATGTGGAAGACGCCAGCGTGGAGTGCTCAGGTAACCTCCCCTCCATCCCCCATCCCACACGTGCTGGGCAGTAGGATAGGTAGATCCCACCACACACATGGCCTCTGCCTGAATCAGGGCTGATCCTGAGCCCCAGTGCAGTTCTGTGGATGTATGCACATCCACAGAGTGGGACACAGCTGATTAACTCATCCTATGACTGAGTGCAGTTCTTGCCCAATGGCCCAGGGAGGACACAGGGATGTAGCTGATGCAGGGGCAGCATTAAATCCTCTCCTACCTGAGACTTCTCTGGTCCCTTGTCCCACTTTCGGGATGCAGGGTGATTAGTATCAGCAGACTCCTTGAAGCAGACACACAGTAGAACCTGCAGCCATCCGTGAAGACCAGGAAAGCTTCCTCCTGCTCTTTTCCCACAGCCCCTCTCCCTGGCTTTTCTGTCTTCCTTCCCACCCTAGAGAAGCCCAGCTCTTGCCATATCTCTGGTGTGCTCAGAGACACCTGAGCCTCTACTGAGCAGGTGGTGGAGTGTGTAGGACTTAACATTTATTTTCTGGACACTGGTGCAGAGGTGGACATGCCTGAGGAGGGGCCAGTCCGGCTTGTGAATGGCCCGAACAAATGTGCTGGGAGAGTCGAGGTGCTCCACGAGAACCGGTGGGGCAGTGTGTGTGATGACCACTGGGACGTGAATGATGCCAAGGTGGTGTGCAAGCAGGTGGGCTGCGGGTCACCGCTATCAGCTCCAGGAGGGGCCCACTATGGACGAGGGCCAGACATCATCTGGTTGGATGATGTTGAATGCAACGGGACAGAAAAGAGCATCCTTGACTGTCAGGCCAGGCCATGGGGTGAACACAACTGCTATCACGGAGAGGATGCTGGTGTTATTTGTACAGGTAACTACGCATCACCATGACATGTGAAGTGATGTGGGGACTGGGTCAAACACTTGTAGAAGAGTCAGCAGGCTGGACTGCAGGGTACAGGAGGGCAATCACAGGACAGGAGGGCTACCACCAGGTCAGGATAATGCTGGTGGAGGCAGGGAAATGGATACAGCAGGGACCTGTAAGGAATATAGAGCACCTGGTTAGGATGGATGTGATGAGACCATCTGGTGGGAGAGCAGCAGAGCAGAAACAAATACAATGCTGACAGTATGACTATGGGATGGATCCTGCTGTGAAGATACTGACAATGGGGTTTTGTATAGGGCAAATCTCCTAAAGGTCAGAAAGAGGGAAGGTAGGGCAGTCTGTGGGGCAGGAGGTAACAATGAGCATCTGTGGGGGTAATGGAGCCTGGGGCAAGATGTATTGGTACATCATCAGTACTCAGTAAATGTCTGAGTTAGACTCTCTGAAGCTCTCAAGAGCTGAGTTACTCACTTTTCATGCCCTGTTGGACAGGCCCTGCATGGGTGAAGGGAGGAACCCTGGGGATCTTCGGTTTCATTATGGTGGAGCAGGGCTGTAGGGTCTTGGCTTTTACTTGGGTGCTGCCCAGGGTCATGCTGTCAGGACCGTGTGCTACAGTCCTCTGAATCAGACAGTGCATTGTGCAACATGATCAGAGTCTGCACATCACACAGTCCTGGTCTGGCTCCCACAGGATCCTGTCCAAAGCTCAGGCTCTGGGTTTCCAACATCCTCAAATATATGGGTATAACTCAACCTGTGGACCTTCTTCAGGAGCAGTATTTGTCACTTCTAGAAGACAATTCTGATGTCTTACAGTTCCTGGGAGCAGACTGTGCTTTACCTTGCTCCCTTTCTCTGCAGTTAACAAGAACCTGGAGGAGCCAGAAGCACCGTGAATGCCAGACTGGCCCTGATGGACCATGCTCATCTTGCTGCAGGAAGATGGGCAAGTAAGATTCAGATGAGAAGGCGAAGGGCAGGGATGTTGCAGAGCCATCAGTGTTCCATAATGGGATCCAGGGTTTGGCAGAACCACTCTCTCTCATTCTTTGAAGGATCTACAAACTTGGTTATAACTGCACTGGTGGAAAACTCACCTCAACACATTATTCCCACTGAAAAGCAAATATCACAAAGTATCAATAAAGTTCCCCTAAAACTAAACATCTGGCTGTCTCATAAATTGCTCATGGGCCTCCACTGCCTGAGCACATACCTGGCAGGGAGCTGTTGGTCCAACGTGATGACAATTTATGTGGTGAATGAATATGATGAATATTTATACAAATGGTATGACAGCATATCATTTCTGAGGTCTACAGAGAAACATTTGCCTCCACTAACATTCAGACCAGTAAAACGGGCAGCCATAAGAGCCTTGGGAAGGGTGTTGAACATTGCACAACACAAGCTTACCTCTGAAGGTTTGTCTGTCCCCCCTCAGAGGGGCAATGCCCCCCATAGGGAACAATTCACCCTTTTTCCTCCTTCATTTTTCCCACAGACCAAAGCTGCCACTTTACAAGTGAATACTTTACCATTTCAGGGATGTCCAGTAAAGACTTAATCTCCAAGACAGATTTTTTTTGTGATTTGTTGTTTTCCAAAATACAACATGCTTTGTGCCTGCCAGCACAACACCAGTGCTTTAATCTCAATGATGCAAAGAACAAAGGTCTTTAGCCTAATATTGACACCTGGTGTCTCCAAGTTAGGTGGCCAACTTGATCTAGTTTTATGGGAAGAAGAAATGACTGGGTCCTCTACCCTACCTCCGCCCAGACCAGTTCACCGCATTCCAAAGCAGGTCTAAAGCAGCTCATATCATCATGCTTTTGAGAGATGCCCTATATCAGTGCATCTCTGGGGAGGGCAGAAATGAGGTGAAGCTGGTGGTGATCTGACCACAACACAGAGCAGCACACACACAAGAACAGAAATTTCAGGTACGTATGTACTTTTTTTTTTTTTTTTTTTTTTTTTAAAAAACAGAAGGTGAGAAGAGGCACAGAAATGGTTTAAAGCTTGAAGGGAATGTCTCAGAGGCCACGAGGTTCAGTCTTTCTTATGAGAGGGCAAGCTATGTGAGGACTTCATTGCAGTAACTGAACACTTCTAGGGGAAGAGTGCTGGCTACTCAAGGCTGTCCAAGCCCATACAGCAAGAGCCAAATGTTTATATACAGTATCCCTACTATCAGCACAAGATGGCTTCTACAGCCAGAGGTGTGAGAGGCACCTGAGGTGATTCAGAGAGTTACTGGGCTGTCTTGCCCAGTGCAAGTGTGTGCCTCTCTTCATTAACCAAATAGGTTCCCAGGCAAAGATGCCCCTGATTTGGGCTCATTAGTTTGGTGCTTGCATTTGAATGTGACAGATCTGAGTCTCGGTTTTTGCTTCTGTACTGCATGCTCTTTGGACTTCAGCAACCACTTCTGCTTGGATTAAATGAATGTTGTACTCTTGTTGGCTGATGATACCATCTCTCTTCTCCACTCTGGAATGGCTGTGAGGTTCAGATCCCGCCTGGAAGAAAATGCATGCAATCCAATCCTGTAAATGCAGCTTGCTTTAGCCTGACAAGCCACTGAAAGTTACTAGAGTGCATAGAATATTTAGTGATATTTAAAAAGTGCAGATAGGAAAAATGTCAAATGGAGGGTTGGGTACCATCCCTCAAAACACCAAGCTCCAACTCCGTACCTCCAACATCACCCCGCAGAACTTGTCTAAGGCAGGAAGATTAGACTGGGAAAGGACAAAGAGTCAGCATCCCCAGCATCCAGCCTAGAGGCTCAGTATTGACTAATGCCTAGTAGGATGGGACATGGGTGAAGGTTACCTGAGCATACAATGCCTGCATCTTCTCTGTGATTACAGTTATGGGCTCCCCAAGGCCTCACCATACACTCAGAGAGGGCTGATACTCTGCTAGAGAATTTCATATCATCCAGCCAGATATGGCCAAAACCTTGCCCAAAATAAGCTGATCCAGAGGCTGACAGTGCTGCCCCACAGCCCAGCTGCCTGCACACCACGCTGGCTTCAGCTGTAACCCCTCCGTCATCACACACAGTTCCCAACTGCTGCTCATGAAACACCTCGAATCACCTGGCACAAAGATTTGGAGCATTCACAACCTGGAAAAGAGAGGGTTCTGCAACACTCGGACCTAAAAACAATACGAAAACATTTGGGGAGCACTGCATGCCACAGAGTCCTGTGGAGAGGGCAACCCCCGCACTTGCAGGAGTCTGGAATATAACAGGGCTTAGTTCCATGATATATAAAATGCCACTAGATGTCTGTAGTCTCACAAACTGATCTAACATCGCTGACTAGAAATTCTGAAACAAAACAATACCAATGAAAGTTGTCATAGCTGAGGCAACAGGTTATTTCCATAATAGGAGAGGAAATAAATGGGGAAGAGGGAATGGAGCACTGGGAGAAACACTGCATATGAGAGTGCTGAGGTTCGACATGTAAAACGCTGCAAGCATTAACATCAGGAATCTCCAAAAAATTAGGAAAAACCCCAGTCCCCACGAGAGCTCTGGGATCACTGGCACCCTTCCTACAAATACAGGCCGTCCGTCGTACCCCCACGTTTCGTGACACGCATTGGTGGTACCTGAGCACACCACACCAGCATCCTCTCCGTGGTTACAGTTCTGCTGCCCCCAAGGCCTGGCCCGACACTCGCTGAGGATGGTTTCAGCCCCTGTGCAGTTCACGTCATCCAGCCAAATTTGGCCCGTTCCTCGTCCAAACCAAGCAGAGCCGGGCGCCGAGACCGCTGGCCCACAGCCCAGCTGCCTGCACACCACTTGAGCGTCTGTCAAATCCCAGCTGTCGTCACAGACGGTTCCCCACTGCTGCTCATGAAACACCTCGACTCTCCCGGAGCAGCTGCTCGAACCGTTCACCAGTCGGATCGGGGCTCGTTCTGGGACACCTGAACCAAAAAGGTAAGACCAGGTCAGTTTGATTCTGGCCAACGGGTTCCTGCCAGCCACCTCAGCAAACTCAGTCTCTACCCGTTGCCTCAGTACCACCCACGAGGGCAAGCAGCCTGGAGAAAGAAAGTTCAACACCATTGTTTTCAATCCTCTTACCCCAAAAGTCAAGGGAAGGTGCTGTCCAAAACCGAGCAGTTCTTTCCCCCTCTGTCTTTGACTGGAAAGACACCCCGTGCCCAGACAGCAAGTGCGCGTAACTTTACTGAGCAAGGGAAAGGACTTGAGCAAGAAAGTCTCTTGAGGGGAACCGTGAGAAAACGGAGCTAGGCTTCATCTCAGCTAGACTTGGAGCCCTTAAGCGTAAACTTCCAGGGGCTGCTTGGCTTCCCTGAGCGTTGGTACGTGGTGCCATCTGACATGCCCAGGGAATCCTAGACAACCCAGTGGAGTCAGCAGACTTGATGCAGGGCTCGGGGGGATTGGTCCCCTTCTGGCTCTGCACTTAGAGACTGGGTGGGAGATCGCGGGACACCTCAGGTGACACTAGGCACCTGCGTTTAGGCACCCGAACCTCACTTTTACAACTCCACTGAGGACCCTCGGCACCCTTCGTAGTCAATGGAAGGCAGCAAGCACTGCTGGGTTGCAAATTCTTTAACTGGCTTTGGGCATCTGCATCAGGACGGGCCAAATCCTGCCGTTGGCCGCACTGACTCAGTCCTCCCTGGCTGCTGGGGGACAGCAGGGCGTTTAAATCAGAGGCAGGCCTCTGTCTTTACTCGGGGAATCCACAGCGTGTTTTCAAGATGTGCGCAAGCGATCAGAGGAAAGCAGAGTATCTCCTGCAAGCGCAAGGCACAAGTTCCCCGCTTCTGAGAGGTAACGTGATCGTATAGAGCACGAAGAAGAGAGAACTGACAGGTCTCCACAAAGGGATTTATGGGACGTACAGGATTGCGAGTAAGACTCTACAACCTCACGCTGTTCTGAGGAAGACACGGAGATGTAGAAATGGGAGTGCTGACTCCCCGCTACGCAAACCAGGCCAACAGAGCTGCTCAGCACTGGCAAAGCCCCAGCTGGCAAAGCAGACTAAAAGAAATATGCCCAAGAGTGAAGGACAAGCCAGAGACGACTGAGAGGACCGAGAAGAAGCTCAAAACTGTGGCTCAAGAGGGAAATGGGAAGAGGCTGAGGGAACGGAAAAGGGGCGGTAACGGCCTTAGCAGAAGAAGGAACTGCAAAGAAGCAGTGGTAGTAACGCGTGCGCTGCAAAGAGACGAGAGGCTGCGGGATAAATTCCAGAAAACGGTAGCCAGGTCAGGGCTTCCTTCTAGTGGCAAAGTGCAGAGCTGCAGCACTTTGAGGAAATGCGTCTCAGGCGCGGAGGTTTCAGAGAAGACGCCGGAGAAACTTTGGTGAAAAAAGGTCTCATGAAGATGGTTCTACCAAGTGAGGGAGGAGGGGAGGGAGATGAAGTGCGTTTCTGCAAGTGTTTTTAATATTCTGGACAGGAGGAAGGAAAGAGAGAGAAAAATGGAGAGCGTGTCTTGATTTCTCAAGTGCGATCTCTTCATGGGGGGTTGTCACTGGCAGCAGTGGAAGAGTCCAAGTGACCCCACAGCCTCTGTAACAGGCCGCATCACACCAGTCCTGCAATGCCACCCGGTTTACAGGCAGCTCCCGTGGGAAAGAGCCCCAGCTTTAAATCCTTCTGCACAGCCAGCAGCAGGCTGGACTGCAGCAGCAGAGTGTTACGCTTAGCTTTTGAGCGGGAAGGAGAGGGCTACACAGAGGGATTTACCCGCATTTCTGTTTGAAGCACGTTCCCGGCACAGTGCTCTGCTTTCAGACTGATGAGATGCCAAGAGGGTGCACCGTGGCATTTCCAACATCCCTCTACGGAGCCCAAAAGTCGAGCGGATGGTGACACAGATGAGACTCACCTGAGCGCACCACACCTGCATTTTCTCCATGCTTGCAGTTGTGGGACCCTCAAGTCCGGGCCCTACACGCAGAGAGGGCAGCTTCATTGCACTGGCCAACAAAGTGGGCACCACCCCAGTCCCCACAAGAGCTCCGGGCTCACTGGCACCCTTCCTACAAATACAGGCCGTCCGTCGTACCCCCACGTTTCGTGACACGCATTGGTGGTACCTGAGCACACCACACCAGCATCCTCTCCGTGGTTACAGTTCTGCTGCCCCCAAGGCCTGGCCCGACACTCGCTGAGGATGGTTTCAGCCCCTGTGCAGTTCACGTCATCCAGCCAAATTTGGCCCGTTCCTCGTCCAAACCAAGCAGAGCCGGGCGCCGAGACCGCTGGCCCACAGCCCAGCTGCCTGCACACCACTTGAGCGTCTGTCAAATCCCAGCTGTCGTCACAGACGGTTCCCCACTGCTGCTCATGAAACACCTCGACTCTCCCGGAGCAGCTGCTCGAACCGTTCACCAGTCGGATCGGGGCTCGTTCTGGGACACCTGAACCAAAAAGGTAAGACCAGGTCAGTTTGATTCTGGCCAACGGGTTCCTGCCAGCCACCTCAGCAAACTCAGTCTCTACCCGTTGCCTCAGTACCACCCACGAGGGCAAGCAGCCTGGAGAAAGAAAGTTCAACACCATTGTTTTCAATCCTCTTACCCCAAAAGTCAAGGGAAGGTGCTGTCCAAAACCGAGCAGTTCTTTCCCCCTCTGTCTTTGACTGGAAAGACACCCCGTGCCCAGACAGCAAGTGCGCGTAACTTTACTGAGCAAGGGAAAGGACTTGAGCAAGAAAGTCTCTTGAGGGGAACCGTGAGAAAACGGAGCTAGGCTTCATCTCAGCTAGACTTGGAGCCCTTAAGCGTAAACTTCCAGGGGCTGCTTGGCTTCCCTGAGCGTTGGTACGTGGTGCCATCTGACATGCCCAGGGAATCCTAGACAACCCAGTGGAGTCAGCAGACTTGATGCAGGGCTCGGGGGGATTGGTCCCCTTCTGGCTCTGCACTTAGAGACTGGGTGGGAGATCGCGGGACACCTCAGGTGACACTAGGCACCTGCGTTTAGGCACCCGAACCTCACTTTTACAACTCCACTGAGGACCCTCGGCACCCTTCGTAGTCAATGGAAGGCAGCAAGCACTGCTGGGTTGCAAATTCTTTAACTGGCTTTGGGCATCTGCATCAGGACGGGCCAAATCCTGCCGTTGGCCGCACTGACTCAGTCCTCCCTGGCTGCTGGGGGACAGCAGGGCGTTTAAATCAGAGGCAGGCCTCTGTCTTTACTCGGGGAATCCACAGCGTGTTTTCAAGATGTGCGCAAGCGACCAGAGGAAAGCAGAGTATCTCCTGCAAGCGCAAGGCACAAGTTCCCCGCTTCTGAGAGGTAACGTGATCGTATAGAGCACGAAGAAGAGAGAACTGACAGGTCTCCACAAAGGGATTTATGGGACGTACAGGATTGCGAGTAAGACTCTACAACCTCACGCTGTTCTGAGGAAGACACGGAGATGTAGAAATGGGAGTGCTGACTCCCCGCTACGCAAACCAGGCCAACAGAGCTGCTCAGCACTGGCAAAGCCCCAGCTGGCAAAGCAGACTAAAAGAAATATGCCCAAGAGTGAAGGACAAGCCAGAGACGACTGAGAGGACCGAGAAGAAGCTCAAAACTGTGGCTCAAGAGGGAAATGGGAAGAGGCTGAGGGAACGGAAAAGGGGCGGTAACGGCCTTAGCAGAAGAAGGAACTGCAAAGAAGCAGTGGTAGTAACGCGTGCGCTGCAAAGAGACGAGAGGCTGCGGGATAAATTCCAGAAAACGGTAGCCAGGTCAGGGCTTCCTTCTAGTGGCAAAGTGCAGAGCTGCAGCACTTTGAGGAAATGCGTCTCAGGCGCGGAGGTTTCAGAGAAGACGCCGGAGAAACTTTGGTGAAAAAAGGTCTCATGAAGATGGTTCTACCAAGTGAGGGAGGAGGGGAGGGAGATGAAGTGCGTTTCTGCAAGTGTTTTTAATATTCTGGACAGGAGGAAGGAAAGAGAGAGAAAAATGGAGAGCGTGTCTTGATTTCTCAAGTGCGATCTCTTCATGGGGGGTTGTCACTGGCAGCAGTGGAAGAGTCCAAGTGACCCCACAGCCTCTGTAACAGGCCGCATCACACCAGTCCTGCAATGCCACCCGGTTTACAGGCAGCTCCCGTGGGAAAGAGCCCCAGCTTTAAATCCTTCTGCACAGCCAGCAGCAGGCTGGACTGCAGCAGCAGAGTGTTACGCTTAGCTTTTGAGCGGGAAGGAGAGGGCTACACAGAGGGATTTACCCGCATTTCTGTTTGAAGCACGTTCCCGGCACAGTGCTCTGCTTTCAGACTGATGAGATGCCAAGAGGGTGCACCGTGGCATTTCCAACATCCCTCTACGGAGCCCAAAAGTCGAGCGGATGGTGACACAGATGAGACTCACCTGAGCGCACCACACCTGCATTTTCTCCATGCTTGCAGTTGTGGGACCCTCAAGTCCGGGCCCTACACGCAGAGAGGGCAGCTTCATTGCACTGGCCAACAAAGTGGGCACCACCCCAGTCCCCACAAGAGCTCCGGGCTCACTGGCACCCTTCCTACAAATACAGGCCGTCCGTCGTACCCCCACGTTTCGTGACACGCATTGGTGGTACCTGAGCACACCACACCAGCATCCTCTCCGTGGTTACAGTTCTGCTGCCCCCAAGGCCTGGCCCGACACTCGCTGAGGATGGTTTCAGCCCCTGTGCAGTTCACGTCATCCAGCCAAATTTGGCCCGTTCCTCGTCCAAACCAAGCAGAGCCGGGCGCCGAGACCGCTGGCCCACAGCCCAGCTGCCTGCACACCACTTGAGCGTCTGTCAAATCCCAGCTGTCGTCACAGACGGTTCCCCACTGCTGCTCATGAAACACCTCGACTCTCCCGGAGCAGCTGCTCGAACCGTTCACCAGTCGGATCGGGGCTCGTTCTGGGACACCTGAACCAAAAAGGTAAGACCAGGTCAGTTTGATTCTGGCCAACGGGTTCCTGCCAGCCACCTCAGCAAACTCAGTCTCTACCCGTTGCCTCAGTACCACCCACGAGGGCAAGCAGCCTGGAGAAAGAAAGTTCAACACCATTGTTTTCAATCCTCTTACCCCAAAAGTCAAGGGAAGGTGCTGTCCAAAACCGAGCAGTTCTTTCCCCCTCTGTCTTTGACTGGAAAGACACCCCGTGCCCAGACAGCAAGTGCGCGTAACTTTACTGAGCAAGGGAAAGGACTTGAGCAAGAAAGTCTCTTGAGGGGAACCGTGAGAAAACGGAGCTAGGCTTCATCTCAGCTAGACTTGGAGCCCTTAAGCGTAAACTTCCAGGGGCTGCTTGGCTTCCCTGAGCGTTGGTACGTGGTGCCATCTGACATGCCCAGGGAATCCTAGACAACCCAGTGGAGTCAGCAGACTTGATGCAGGGCTCGGGGGGATTGGTCCCCTTCTGGCTCTGCACTTAGAGACTGGGTGGGAGATCGCGGGACACCTCAGGTGACACTAGGCACCTGCGTTTAGGCACCCGAACCTCACTTTTACAACTCCACTGAGGACCCTCGGCACCCTTCGTAGTCAATGGAAGGCAGCAAGCACTGCTGGGTTGCAAATTCTTTAACTGGCTTTGGGCATCTGCATCAGGACGGGCCAAATCCTGCCGTTGGCCGCACTGACTCAGTCCTCCCTGGCTGCTGGGGGACAGCAGGGCGTTTAAATCAGAGGCAGGCCTCTGTCTTTACTCGGGGAATCCACAGCGTGTTTTCAAGATGTGCGCAAGCGACCAGAGGAAAGCAGAGTATCTCCTGCAAGCGCAAGGCACAAGTTCCCCGCTTCTGAGAGGTAACGTGATCGTATAGAGCACGAAGAAGAGAGAACTGACAGGTCTCCACAAAGGGATTTATGGGACGTACAGGATTGCGAGTAAGACTCTACAACCTCACGCTGTTCTGAGGAAGACACGGAGATGTAGAAATGGGAGTGCTGACTCCCCGCTACGCAAACCAGGCCAACAGAGCTGCTCAGCACTGGCAAAGCCCCAGCTGGCAAAGCAGACTAAAAGAAATATGCCCAAGAGTGAAGGACAAGCCAGAGACGACTGAGAGGACCGAGAAGAAGCTCAAAACTGTGGCTCAAGAGGGAAATGGGAAGAGGCTGAGGGAACGGAAAAGGGGCGGTAACGGCCTTAGCAGAAGAAGGAACTGCAAAGAAGCAGTGGTAGTAACGCGTGCGCTGCAAAGAGACGAGAGGCTGCGGGATAAATTCCAGAAAACGGTAGCCAGGTCAGGGCTTCCTTCTAGTGGCAAAGTGCAGAGCTGCAGCACTTTGAGGAAATGCGTCTCAGGCGCGGAGGTTTCAGAGAAGACGCCGGAGAAACTTTGGTGAAAAAAGGTCTCATGAAGATGGTTCTACCAAGTGAGGGAGGAGGGGAGGGAGATGAAGTGCGTTTCTGCAAGTGTTTTTAATATTCTGGACAGGAGGAAGGAAAGAGAGAGAAAAATGGAGAGCGTGTCTTGATTTCTCAAGTGCGATCTCTTCATGGGGGGTTGTCACTGGCAGCAGTGGAAGAGTCCAAGTGACCCCACAGCCTCTGTAACAGGCCGCATCACACCAGTCCTGCAATGCCACCCGGTTTACAGGCAGCTCCCGTGGGAAAGAGCCCCAGCTTTAAATCCTTCTGCACAGCCAGCAGCAGGCTGGACTGCAGCAGCAGAGTGTTACGCTTAGCTTTTGAGCGGGAAGGAGAGGGCTACACAGAGGGATTTACCCGCATTTCTGTTTGAAGCACGTTCCCGGCACAGTGCTCTGCTTTCAGACTGATGAGATGCCAAGAGGGTGCACCGTGGCATTTCCAACATCCCTCTACGGAGCCCAAAAGTCGAGCGGATGGTGACACAGATGAGACTCACCTGAGCGCACCACACCTGCATTTTCTCCATGCTTGCAGTTGTGGGACCCTCAAGTCCGGGCCCTACACGCAGAGAGGGCAGCTTCATTGCACTGGCCAACAAAGTGGGCACCACCCCAGTCCCCACAAGAGCTCCGGGCTCACTGGCACCCTTCCTACAAATACAGGCCGTCCGTCGTACCCCCACGTTTCGTGACACGCATTGGTGGTACCTGAGCACACCACACCAGCATCCTCTCCGTGGTTACAGTTCTGCTGCCCCCAAGGCCTGGCCCGACACTCGCTGAGGATGGTTTCAGCCCCTGTGCAGTTCACGTCATCCAGCCAAATTTGGCCCGTTCCTCGTCCAAACCAAGCAGAGCCGGGCGCCGAGACCGCTGGCCCACAGCCCAGCTGCCTGCACACCACTTGAGCGTCTGTCAAATCCCAGCTGTCGTCACAGACGGTTCCCCACTGCTGCTCATGAAACACCTCGACTCTCCCGGAGCAGCTGCTCGAACCGTTCACCAGTCGGATCGGGGCTCGTTCTGGGACACCTGAACCAAAAAGGTAAGACCAGGTCAGTTTGATTCTGGCCAACGGGTTCCTGCCAGCCACCTCAGCAAACTCAGTCTCTACCCGTTGCCTCAGTACCACCCACGAGGGCAAGCAGCCTGGAGAAAGAAAGTTCAACACCATTGTTTTCAATCCTCTTACCCCAAAAGTCAAGGGAAGGTGCTGTCCAAAACCGAGCAGTTCTTTCCCCCTCTGTCTTTGACTGGAAAGACACCCTGTGCCCAGACAGCAAGTGCGCGTAACTTTACTGAGCAAGGGAAAGGACTTGAGCAAGAAAGTCTCTTGAGGGGAACCGTGAGAAAACGGAGCTAGGCTTCATCTCAGCTAGACTTGGAGCCCTTAAGCGTAAACTTCCAGGGGCTGCTTGGCTTCCCTGAGCGTTGGTACGTGGTGCCATCTGACATGCCCAGGGAATCCTAGACAACCCAGTGGAGTCAGCAGACTTGATGCAGGGCTCGGGGGGATTGGTCCCCTTCTGGCTCTGCACTTAGAGACTGGGTGGGAGATCGCGGGACACCTCAGGTGACACTAGGCACCTGCGTTTAGGCACCCGAACCTCACTTTTACAACTCCACTGAGGACCCTCGGCACCCTTCGTAGTCAATGGAAGGCAGCAAGCACTGCTGGGTTGCAAATTCTTTAACTGGCTTTGGGCATCTGCATCAGGACGGGCCAAATCCTGCCGTTGGCCGCACTGACTCAGTCCTCCCTGGCTGCTGGGGGACAGCAGGGCGTTTAAATCAGAGGCAGGCCTCTGTCTTTACTCGGGGAATCCACAGCGTGTTTTCAAGATGTGCGCAAGCGACCAGAGGAAAGCAGAGTATCTCCTGCAAGCGCAAGGCACAAGTTCCCCGCTTCTGAGAGGTAACGTGATCGTATAGAGCACGAAGAAGAGAGAACTGACAGGTCTCCACAAAGGGATTTATGGGACGTACAGGATTGCGAGTAAGACTCTACAACCTCACGCTGTTCTGAGGAAGACACGGAGATGTAGAAATGGGAGTGCTGACTCCCCGCTACGCAAACCAGGCCAACAGAGCTGCTCAGCACTGGCAAAGCCCCAGCTGGCAAAGCAGACTAAAAGAAATATGCCCAAGAGTGAAGGACAAGCCAGAGACGACTGAGAGGACCGAGAAGAAGCTCAAAACTGTGGCTCAAGAGGGAAATGGGAAGAGGCTGAGGGAACGGAAAAGGGGCGGTAACGGCCTTAGCAGAAGAAGGAACTGCAAAGAAGCAGTGGTAGTAACGCGTGCGCTGCAAAGAGACGAGAGGCTGCGGGATAAATTCCAGAAAACGGTAGCCAGGTCAGGGCTTCCTTCTAGTGGCAAAGTGCAGAGCTGCAGCACTTTGAGGAAATGCGTCTCAGGCGCGGAGGTTTCAGAGAAGACGCCGGAGAAACTTTGGTGAAAAAAGGTCTCATGAAGATGGTTCTACCAAGTGAGGGAGGAGGGGAGGGAGATGAAGTGCGTTTCTGCAAGTGTTTTTAATATTCTGGACAGGAGGAAGGAAAGAGAGAGAAAAATGGAGAGCGTGTCTTGATTTCTCAAGTGCGATCTCTTCATGGGGGGTTGTCACTGGCAGCAGTGGAAGAGTCCAAGTGACCCCACAGCCTCTGTAACAGGCCGCATCACACCAGTCCTGCAATGCCACCCGGTTTACAGGCAGCTCCCGTGGGAAAGAGCCCCAGCTTTAAATCCTTCTGCACAGCCAGCAGCAGGCTGGACTGCAGCAGCAGAGTGTTACGCTTAGCTTTTGAGCGGGAAGGAGAGGGCTACACAGAGGGATTTACCCGCATTTCTGTTTGAAGCACGTTCCCGGCACAGTGCTCTGCTTTCAGACTGATGAGATGCCAAGAGGGTGCACCGTGGCATTTCCAACATCCCTCTACGGAGCCCAAAAGTCGAGCGGATGGTGACACAGATGAGACTCACCTGAGCGCACCACACCTGCATTTTCTCCATGCTTGCAGTTGTGGGACCCTCAAGTCCGGGCCCTACACGCAGAGAGGGCAGCTTCATTGCACTGGCCAACAAAGTGGGCACCACCCCAGTCCCCACAAGAGCTCCGGGCTCACTGGCACCCTTCCTACAAATACAGGCCGTCCGTCGTACCCCCACGTTTCGTGACACGCATTGGTGGTACCTGAGCACACCACACCAGCATCCTCTCCGTGGTTACAGTTCTGCTGCCCCCAAGGCCTGGCCCGACACTCGCTGAGGATGGTTTCAGCCCCTGTGCAGTTCACGTCATCCAGCCAAATTTGGCCCGTTCCTCGTCCAAACCAAGCAGAGCCGGGCGCCGAGACCGCTGGCCCACAGCCCAGCTGCCTGCACACCACTTGAGCGTCTGTCAAATCCCAGCTGTCGTCACAGACGGTTCCCCACTGCTGCTCATGAAACACCTCGACTCTCCCGGAGCAGCTGCTCGAACCGTTCACCAGTCGGATCGGGGCTCGTTCTGGGACACCTGAACCAAAAAGGTAAGACCAGGTCAGTTTGATTCTGGCCAACGGGTTCCTGCCAGCCACCTCAGCAAACTCAGTCTCTACCCGTTGCCTCAGTACCACCCACGAGGGCAAGCAGCCTGGAGAAAGAAAGTTCAACACCATTGTTTTCAATCCTCTTACCCCAAAAGTCAAGGGAAGGTGCTGTCCAAAACCGAGCAGTTCTTTCCCCCTCTGTCTTTGACTGGAAAGACACCCCGTGCCCAGACAGCAAGTGCGCGTAACTTTACTGAGCAAGGGAAAGGACTTGAGCAAGAAAGTCTCTTGAGGGGAACCGTGAGAAAACGGAGCTAGGCTTCATCTCAGCTAGACTTGGAGCCCTTAAGCGTAAACTTCCAGGGGCTGCTTGGCTTCCCTGAGCGTTGGTACGTGGTGCCATCTGACATGCCCAGGGAATCCTAGACAACCCAGTGGAGTCAGCAGACTTGATGCAGGGCTCGGGGGGATTGGTCCCCTTCTGGCTCTGCACTTAGAGACTGGCTCTGGGAATCATGAAGGAAGACTTGGAGGTGTAACTCTAGGACTCCAGTTATGTGGGATGACCTGATACTAATGGGCTGGGAGGGACAATGCGGTCTATGGGAAGAACCCCATTTAATGCAAGAGGTTTGGGGGAACTTCAGAAGGAACTATGTCTACTGACATGAGGGTGGGATGGTGAGGTTGCCAAAGCTACTGTTCTCTGCCATGAGAGAGGATGCTCTACCAAGTCATGCACTGGTCATGCACATGGGGAGCCCTACAAACAATTCCTGCAGCTCATCTGGTGGTAGATTTTAATTAAGGAGAAGAGGCAAAACCACCATAAGGCTTAACAGTATAAATCACTTTTTAACTTATAGCTCTCTTGCATGCTGAGGTCAGCACTGCTCCAAAGGGAATAGAGCCTCCTACAGCTCCTCCATCATCTCTCCACACTCCACAAAATGCACTCATGTCATGCAAAGTGGGATTTACCTGAGCACACAACACTAGCATCTTCTCCATGCACACAGTTATGGCTTCCCCAAGGTTTTGCACTGCATTCAGAAAGGACAGCTTCAGTTCCTTTGCAGGTCACATCATCAAGCCAAATGGGGTCAGGCCCTCCCCCAAAGTAAGCTGAGGACGGAGCAGATAGAGCGGTCCCACAGCCCAGCTGACGGCATACAACTTCAGCATCAATTATATCCCAGTCGTCATCACAGACAGTTCCCCATTGCTGGTTGTAAAGCACCTCCACTCTCCCAGCACAGTGATTTGAGCCATTCACTAATCGCAGTTTAACCGTTTTAATGTCTACATTAAAAGGGAAAAAAAACAAAAACAAAAACAAAAACAAAAAAAAAAAAACAAAAAAACAAAAAACAAAAAACAAAAAAAAAAAACAGAAACAGGATCAGGGGGTTGCACATGGAAAGATTGCTTGGACATCAAAGGCAAGGAAAGATCTCCACTGGGACTACCCAGGACTTGACAAGGTGAAGGTTGATGAAGATCACGTTCTGTATCTTCCTCTGTGGTTTCAGAGATCAGAATTAGAGAGATAAATAGCACGGATTGGGAATCCCTTATGAAACAGGACTGTATTGTTACTCCATGGGTGGGGACTTCCTACAGGTCAAGACAGCCATATATCTTACAGACCTGGTAGTGTCTTCATGTGAGACGGATGTTGAAAATCTAGTTCGTCAATGACACCTGTGGAGCTGCTCAGCTGGCCAAATATTGGCATTTGATTCAATTTCCTAAATAAGTGTTCAGCAGCATTTACGATGTCATCGGTATTCCCACTTAGGGTCTCCCTTAGGGCCTCTATCTCATCTGCCAGGTTGTGTCAGATGCCCCAGAGCATCCCTAATTGCACTTGGAGACCCTGTGTAGGGAACTGACTTCACCCTTGATTTCCATTGTTTGCAATAGGAAGGCACCCAGTCCAAGTGGTGACACCTGCATTTAGACACATGTACGTCTGGGTCCTAATAGGGCCCTGAATCCCATTCCAGGTCCAACTAGGGGGACGTACATTTGGAAATTTGATTCATTGTTCAGTGCTGAGTGAAGCAGCGCTTAGGAAATACTGACCTGAAAGAGGGCAACAGGCAGCCTGTCAACCTCACAATCCCCTTTCCACCTCCTAGGGCCCATGACCGACTTGATTAAGCTTTACTCTCAGGTTAACCATGATGTAGAGGGGTAGGGTACACCTTCAAGCCTTCCCCACACACTTTCTGGAACGCAGCATTCATTAGCATCCTGCTGTCACAGACAAGTGACCCACAACTGACTTTGTCATCCCAGTCCCAGTCTGGAGAATAAACACAGCCACCAGGAGAGAGTACTGTCACAAAACACAAATGGAAAGAGGCCACGTAAATGCTCAACTTCCCTGGCATATTTCAGCCATGAAATATGTGCATGGCAAGCATGTGCATCCAGGTGGGAATCTTTCAGTCTCCTTGTCCATTAGCTTCATGGTGATGGCATAACAGGCAAGAATAGTGTGGATCAGGGGAAAAAACTTATGATCTCTTTTCTGCCACAGTAACAGAACAAGCACAAACACCATCACCACCACCACCCCATGTCACGCTGTTTAACTGGTAGAACTGAGCTGGTTATTATTGCCCTTGGCATGGTACAGGTCAGTGCCTGAAGCAGCCATTCCCATCCTGATCCGTAAGGGTAGCACTGATGGAGAAATAAAGCATTGCAAACAGGCTTAAAAACCTCCCTCTACACAGCACAGCCTCCTGGGGTCATGCGAGAAAGGGTGTAAACATGAGTTACCTGAGCACACAACGCCTGCGTCTTCTCCATGATTGCAGTTATGCTCTCCCCAGGGTCTGGTCCAGCAGGCAGAAAGGTCAGCTTCCGTACCGGTGCAGTTCATGTCATCCAGCCAGATACGACCCATTCCTTGGCCAAAGTGAGCTGAGCCAGGGGCTGACAGTGCTTCCCCACAGTCCAACTGCCTGCATACGACCATGGCGTCGGACAGATCCCAGCTATCGTCACACACGGTTCCCCACTGCTCTTTCCAAAGCACCTCAAGCCGCCCCGCGCAGCGGCTGGGGCCGCTCACAAGTCTGATGGGGGCAGAGTTGGCAGCACCTGAATCCCAAAACAAGCCAAGGTAGAAAATGGGCATGAGTCAGATTTTGGCCAATAGTGGAGAACATAACGCCTTTCTCTTGCAGGAGTAATGCCATTTTGGGTCTGTCTGGGGAAGGACTGCTGAAATGCTGACCACTTCTTTTCCAGCAGGAGCATTATAAGAAAAGCTTGCTGGCTAACTAGTGGTGAAAATTTCCTGTGCAAATGGTGTTAGGACCTCTAACACATCTCTGCATCTCTATAAGCAGCTTCAAGCTCTTCTTAGTCACCTAGGACAGTCCTGATCATGGGATTCCTAGTAATATGTCTCTCCCAGACACAAGCCAAATATTCAAATCCTTGGATGAGAACCAATCATTTCCAGCCATGGAACAGTCCCAGCAAACCTTCTGACATGGTGTGTGACATCTCCACACCACAGAAATCTTAGACTGTACCATGCACACAGGCAGGAAGATGAAAAGAAAATCTCAGATTATGGTCCCGAGGAAAATAGAGATCCAGAGCAGGTATCTTCACACCACCTGAGCTGCTGTAGCACCATGGGTCTCAGATCATCCCTCCCCACCCTCATTGTGCAGCTCTCTGCTCCATGCACAAGACCTGGAACACTCCTCCTGAGGTCTGCCTCTCTCCCTGAGTTGTGCAAGTTAATGAAGGAAGATTTCAGGTCACTTCTCTGGGTGTGAATTTAGATTTCCACATCCTTGCTCAAAATGCTTGTCAGAACTTTCCTATCCAGAGTTCAGTCACTTGGTGCCATGTGGAACAGAGTTTGTTCACCTAAATGTAGGTTTCTAGTGCCATTTGTAGACCTGCAGACTCCAGAGCAGTAGCTAGAGTCCAGGATGGAGAAACTAGGGCAACTCAGATGGGTCTAGGCACCTACATTCAGGCAACTGACTAAAGCGCACAGAATCATAGAATCATTTCTATTGGAAAAGACCTTTAAGATCGTGGAGTCCAACAGTTAACCTATGACTGCCAAGTCCACCATTAAACCACAGTGCCACATCTACACATCTTTTAATGTATAGATGGTGGCACAACTATTTCCCCGGGCAGTCTGTTTCAGTATTTGACAATCCTTCCAGTGAAGAAATTTTTCCTAATATCCAACCTAAACCTGCCCTGGAACACCTTGAGGCTGTTTCATGTTATCACTTGTTACTTGGAAAAAGAGACCGATCTCTCCTCACTGCAAATTCCTTTTAGGTAGTTGTAGAGAGCAATAAGACCTCCCCTGAGCCTCCTTTTCTCCAGGATAAACAACCAGGGATCTGTCAGCCACTCCTCATAAGACTCGTTCTCTAGACAGTTCACCTTCAGACCACCGCCGCATCTGCCAGGTCCCAGCCGTCATCGCAGACCGTCCCCCACATGTGATTGTGAAGCACCTCCACCCTCCCGGCGCAGCGGTTGGGGCCATTGAGCAGCTGGAGGGTGCCCAGGGAGGTGATGCTGGAGTCTGCAGGTACCCCAAGAGGACAATTGGAGAAGGGTTGTGCAGCCCTGCTGGTAGATCAGGAAGGGATGCAGGGGTGGAGGTGGTGCACAGCCAGATGGCTGCTGTCCTGGGCTACCTGAGCACTCAACGCTGGCGTCCTCTACGTGGTAACAGTTGTGTTCCCCCCATGGCCTGGCTCGGCATTCAGACAGGTCCCTTTCCTCTCCGGTGCAGTTGACCTCATCCAACCAGATCTGTCCTGTCCCTTCTCCGTACCGAGCTCCTGGTGCCACTGACAGCACTGTCCCACAGCCCAGCTGCCGGCACACGACCCGGCCCTCAGGGGAACCCCAGCCATCGTCGCACACTGTCCCCCACGTCCCATTGTGGAGTACCTCCACCCGCCCGGCACATCGGCCGGGGCCACCCACCAGGCGAAGGAACCCCCCTGGGATCTCAGCAGCTGCGCCTGCAAAGCCAGGATAGGAAAGAGGAGGGGAGGTGAAATCCTGGGGGTGAATAGAGCTCAGCTGATCATATATCTAAGATAGTTACTGCCTCCCAAAAAGGGTTTCAGAGGTGGTGTTGACCATCCCAGGCCTGCTCCGGGCATCGCAGATGGCTCTGGGGAGCTGTAGTCAACTGAGACCCATCTCTGCATCTAAACCCTGAATTTAATCATCTTAACCTCAGTGTGGATCCCACACCCCAGGAGCCCTTTTCTTGCTCATGTAACAGGCACAAAAAAATGGGTATTTGAGCTCAGGCATGTTTTCGTACGGGCAGCCAGCAGCAAAGATGGAGCTTTGCCATCAAGAGTGGGTAATGCCTTGGGGTTCAGCTGCATGGCAACTTTGTGGGAATGGGTGGAAAAGTGCTTGAGCTAAGGGTATTGGCAATGTGCAAGACCCACAGCGTGACGCTGCCACTGGTCCCATAGGCACGCTTTTGCAAGAGAGCTAACCAAAGGGAGATGGTGCAGAAGGAGACGTAGCTGAACGTTAGTCGCATGGAGAGCTCAACTGGGTCAGCAGAAAAAAAGATCAAGAGGGATATGATTGCAGTGTGTAAATAAGCTTGTTGACCATGGATAATGATTTCTGAAGTGCTCAGGCATTGATCTGTGCACGGGTCTGACCATCAGCGAGCAAGGGGCCAGATATAGCGCTTGGGAAGTCATAGGGCCCAGAAAGAGACAAAAACAGGTTAAAAATCACATCCCTGAGTCACTCAAATACAAACAGCATCTGGACAGCTGTGGCACACTGCATGCAGGTGTGCCCAGATTAACTCCTTCATGCAGGCTGCGCAGCAGGGAGCAGTAAAGCATCTTTGCAATCAAGTGTCTTTGCAATAAACCCCTTTGCAAACCCCCCCCTTAAAATTCACTTCTACAAGGAGGCTATTGGGGGATGCACTGGGGGCACTTCTTCTACAGTTTGCACGTTCTCCTGTCCCCAGGGTAAGAGCACAGTCCTGAAGATGGCTGGCTCTTCTCTTTCACCCTTTCCCTGTGCACTTTTTTGCTCTCCTTCCTTATTTTTACTAGGATCATCGAGGCTACCCTGCGATAACCAATAAATCAACCCTGAAGCTGAGACTTAGCCAATCTTACTGATAGATTTCTTGGCATGTTTCTTTCAATCACTGCCTGGTCACATGTGCATTGGCTGCGCTTGAGTGGACAAGTCCCAGCCGAGATGTCTCCAGTCAGCCAGGAGATACTGAATGTTGAAGAGGCAAACACTCTACTGAATTTTCCAGGAGCAGAATTATAAAAAAAAAAAAAAAAAAAAAAAATGTGGGAAGATTGTACTGTAAATGAATAGATCACCAAAGAAGGAGGAAACCCAAGGACACAAGTGAGTTAAGGCAAAATTTTAGTTCCAAGAGGCAGTGGTACAAACTGGCCTTAGCCGCTAATCAGCCTGGAAATGAAAATGAAATCTCTACCAGCTGGGAAAGCATGTTCCTAATCTTGCTCACTTCAAACCTGATTAGATGAGTGTTTCTGCTTGTGCCCTTGGTAAATGTGAAACAGGACCAAAAAGGTTTCCCAAATCAAATAATCAGCTTCTGCTCTGAGCCTGGCCATCTTGGGCAAAGCCCTTAGCCCTTTCTTAACCATTTCCAAAGCAAAGCTGCCATTGAACCATCGGCATGATATTGCTCTTGCAGCAGAGCTCTTTCCCATCCTTGCACCAACGTCTGAGAGCAAACCATGTCTGTAGAGAAGGGACCTGTAGGGTCTGCACCTTCCTTACGGCTCCACCCGAGCATGAGAAGGGACATGTCTCTTGCCGGCATCTTGCCTGTCTGCCCTGTTAGCCCAGAAAGGATTCACTTCCTTGTGCTGCACATTCATGAGACACCCAGCCCTGTCCTGGCAATGTGGGTCCCTACTTGTTCACCTCTCCATCATACAGGGAGCCACCCCTGTTAATGCACACTGCTGGTGGGTTTGGCCAAGCCTCCTCAGTCCTGTAATACCATGAGTTTGCCATGTACGGTCCAGGATAAGCCAAGATTAAAGCAGGGCAGGAGGCTGTGGCCAGCTGGGAGACAGCTTCAGGATCAGGCATGTTTCCCTCCACTCTTGTAATGATCACAAGCCTTTAATTATGGGGCACAAGCCTTTGAGTATGGGGCAAAACCATGTGTGCAGAAGTAGACCTGCAATGCATGGCTCTTGGAGTGCAGCAGAGCTAGCTGAGCTCCTGACTTCATGTAAAAAGCCTTTCACCTGCCTCCAAAGCCATTCATAAGCCATTCCCCCCTACCCCAGGCCCCCAGGTGAAGCCCAGGACCACTGACCAGCCTCTGCTGTGCTCCACCCAGTGCTAGCTGAGCAGGCTGGAGGAGCTGACATGGTTGATGGGCTCCCTGCAGTTATCAGCAAAGCGAATGCCACTCACCCCAAAGGCACACCATCAAGACGAGGGTTCCTGTGCTCTTGGCCCCACCACAGGTGGGTTGGTTTCTGTCCCTGGGGTGTCTGGATGAGGGATGGAGACCACCCAGCACCCCCATGTTTGCAGCCTAGCCACAGGCTGCAGGTTGGAGTAGACTGTCCTTGTGAGAGATGCCAGCTGAGCCCAGTGTCCCACTGGCCAACTGGGAGGGCAGACTGGGATTTCTGCAGTGACTCCTCCTCTTCCTCTTCCCTGCTCCCCCCTGGGAGTTTCACCTCCTGGGAAGCTCTGCCAGGATTTGACGTGCTGCCCCATGCAGTGGCCATTCTTGTCATCGGGTTGCGAAACAGCGAACGGTTCCAGGAAAGCATGTGGCAAACAAAACCCTCTCCACACTCAGGTCCCATCTCATACATGCCAGCCCCTGTGGACACCATGCCTGGCCTGATGCATACTAGTACAAGATACCTACTTTCAACAAGATAAATCAAGCCTTTATACACAGAACTGCAGAAATAGAGCTACATCAGCTAATTAGGAAGTGTCTCATTGGGTTTGGGGGCATAAGGGACCATCTGCTGCAAGAAAATGGGTCTATAACGGCTGGAAATAGCTTTATTGTGGATGCTGGAGACAGCACCTGCACTGTAGCCATTTGCTATCAGGCGTGTCTGGACACTATCCGTGATGGGAAAGGGTCTCGCACCCCTCTTGCGATGCTTTCAATGGCTCAGTCGAATTTGGAAAATGAGGGGAACTGCCATTTTCTTATCCCACTGTGGCTGCACTTGCAAGACCCCAAAGGGTCCCTTTTGAGTTAGCAGTTTGCTTCCCGATTGCTATTACGCAGATGATGCTCCAGGCATGCTCCTTGCAAATCACTGCTCCAAGCATGTCCTGAGATGCTGGAAGGATGAAATAGTTTGCTGTCCTCCCATCCCTTTGTGGTGACGTGCTCAAATTGTGTAAGCAAAGGGCTCGAAGGCAGAGCAGCATGACACTGGAAAGAATGAGTTTTGCAAAAGGGTCATCAAATTCACATGACTCATTGCTCCAAATGGGAGGGTTCAGATGAGGATGGGTGCTGTGCTGGTGGTACATTGAAGGTGGGGCTTCCACTGAGCAAAGATGTGGCCCCTACCAGAAACAGGGTGGCTGGTTCTGCCCATGACCGTGCAAAAATAAGAAGCAAAACCAGAGCATGTAATGGGAAGAGGACAGCATGGCCAGGAAGGTCTCAGACTGTTTAACCTGTTCAGCAAAACCTGAGATGAGTAGTAGAGTGGAGAGTAGCTTGCTGCCTGTAGGAAGATCAAACAGGAGAAACCCAAAGCCCAGAGGCATGCAGAGCTAGGGCTGAAGACCAAAAGGGAAAAAAAGGTGCACTGAGCAAAGGCACAAGAATGAGCAGGTGAAAATTAGTTTGGAAATCAGTCAGAACTCATAAAAAGTCCAGCAGCTGGAAAAGGTGACTGTATTCATGTGTACTGAGGCTCAGTGAGCCCAAGGACTTTGTTCCCCTTCTTTGCAAACAACCAGGCTAGCAGCAAAGAGATTCCCAACACTGACTGGCATGGAAATGCTGTGAACTGTCGTTCACAGCTGATGCAACTCTGGGCAAGGATGTTTCTGCTGGGGCTGTTTTCACAGTATGGACAAACAGCCGGTCTGGATGTGAGTCATGGTCCTATGTCCCTTCTGCTCTTTTGAATTTGAGAGCTGTGTCCCGCTGGGACGTCTGAAACCCCTTTTTGAGATACTGCTGTCCCTGCAGAGTACCTCCGCAGAGTAACCCATGGCCTGAGCTGGGATCTATCAGGTGCTGGTCCTGCATTTGGAGCCCTGAAGAGCATCAACTCGTCCCAGCTTTATCAGAACAATCTTCTCCAAACGGTACGCATATTTTGTTGCACAAAACTGGGTCCAAGCTCCTGTTTTTCCCTATTCTGAGGACACTCTATTCAGAGCTAGAAGGAGCCCTGGGCCTTTGATGTGAACTTTGGGCCAGGCAAGGATGGAAGACGAGGTCTGCTGGGGTATCCGGTGGGAAGATGAGAAGGTTCAGGTGCCAGCAGGAGGATGAGAAACCCTGAAGTCCCAGGACTGATGGATGTGCATGGAGGATCAGAAGATGGCCTTGTGGCCACGTGTTGGGGCCACCTGTGGCCACCCGGCCAGGGGGGCTTAGGACAAGTAGCAAGACACAAACGGGTCACAAGCTGCAAGTCGCTGGCTGGGAGGCAAGGAGAGGCTGGACCTGAAGGGCATTGAAATACATGCCATGACTCTTTCATTACGTGAGTCTTCTCCCTGCTGCCTCTTGCACCAACTCTTCCCTTCCATGCCCCTGTGCGGAGCTTGGCTCACAAGGCACACCTTCATCACAACCAGGTCAAGCTTGTGGTCCCTTCATTCCCTCCCCATGGCACTGTGACAGTGCTCTGACCATGGCCACTCCTGGCTCCACCAAAGTGGTGGACGGTTTGGGACTCAGGCCTGACTCCATGGGATGCTCCATTAGGAACGTGAACCTTCCTCGGTGGTGGCCAGGGCTATC